AGCCTGCAGTCGGGTTCTGTGGTGAGCTAGGCACAGGGGAAGCCAGTGGACTGCCAAGGCAGCAGGGCTGGTAGGAACTGCTTGATGGGGAGTGGGGGAGCTGCCTCCGGGGCCCTTCTGGTACTCTTGCTTCCTGTGTTCCCCACTTGTTTCTGCGGAGGTGCAGAGCACATGAGTGATCCTGTCAGGGAGGCAGTCCTGGATGCTGCAGGTCGCCCGCCACTCATTCCACAAGCACTTTGTGGGGCAGTAATTCGTGCCAGGCGCTGGTCCAACAGCAGTGGGACAAGCAGACAGACTGTTCTGTCCTTGTGGCGCTTATATTGTGGCGGGGAGGCCAGCAGTAGGTCAGTGCGGGAGAAGGTGACCCGCTGTGGAAAGTAGAGCAGGTTGTAAGAGGCCAGGAGGGCCTACAGCTGCAGTTTACGTCAGGTGGCAGGAGGGGCCGCCTAGGTACTGATGGTAATAGCCGAAGTGCCCCCCATCGGTGAGCACTAACTGTATGTGAGGCACCTTACAGCAATTCGGGGTGCATGATGATTAAACCACTCAGCTGCTAACTGAAGGTCTGTGGTTCGAACCCATTAGCTGTTCCTTGGGAGAAAGATGAGACAGTGTGTTTCTGTCAAGATTTATAGTCGTGGAAACCCTCTGGGGGAAGTTCCACTCTATCCTATGGCTCAATATGAGTCAGGGCATGGGGGAGACATTCTACGTGTACCACCTTGATAGGTCCAAAGCGGTGGTGGGGGTCCCCTTCCAGAGTGAAGGACAAGCTTAGTGAGAACATCACTTCTTGAGGTCACCCGCTTATGGTGGGCTGCATGTCCCAGGAGGGTTGCCCCCCTGGTGTTGCCCACTGCCCCTTGGCCTCCAGGTGCCTGCACAGTCACCTGGCAAAGCCCCAAGGAGCCAGCAGATGCTGTGGCCACCATGGTCCCAGGAGCGGTGGCTGGGCGGCCTGTGTTCCGGACATGGCCTCCCTCCCGTGCTAAGGAACGAGCCGCCCTCGGGATAATGAATCATGGGCTGAGAGGGCCAGCTTAGTCAGCATGCGATGCTGGTGTCTGCGCCCCAGCTAGAGACACTCAACTGTCCCCCACGTTGTCCTCCTCCGGCCCCCAATTCAGGGTTGCCAAGTGCAGCGGTGCAAGGACACCTGGCTGAAATGGAGAGTGGGAGCAAAACTGGCCCCCGTGCACCTGGCCCGGCTGCGTGTCTGGCAGAGGATGTGCCCGGAGGCCCTGGAGCGGGAAGGTTGTGTCAGGAGACCTAGAGTGCATACCCAGGTGATGCCTGGCCAAGGTCACCTTATTCAAGGCCAGGATTCTTGCCAGGGAGCAGGGCATCAGCCTCTGGACAGGCTGGAAGGTCAGTGGGAAGCCTGGCCCCGCTGCAGCTGGTGTGTTCCCCGGACATCCGCCCTGGATGGCAGGGACTCAGTTGAGCTGGCACGGCAGAGTCAGGAGTGAGGGCTGCGGGGGAGGGGAGGGGACTGAGGGTCCAGTCCCCCCTCTGCCCCCTGTGCTGGGTCCTTTAGGCAGCACCATCCCCCTCTCCTGACTTCACTTTCCTCACCCATGAACACGACCTGCTGCCCCAAAGATCACCTTGACCCTGACCTATCGTCCCTGTGTTGGAGGCCAGCCGTAGTGATGATGAGGGCAGCCAGTCCTGACCGAGGACCTCTGGGCGTACGGGTCTCACACGGCAGCCCCATAGGTAGTAGGCACTGTGATGACCCTGGCTTTCGCTGGAGAAAATTGAGGCCAAAGTTAAATAACCGCCCACGTTCACAGGGCTAGAAAGTAGTGGCTCCTGGATTTAACCCAGACCATCCCAGCTCTCACAGGAACCTGGTGGCACTGTGTGTTAAGCACTGGACTGCTGACCTCAACGCTGGCAGTTCAAACCCACCTCCTCTGGAGAAAAAGGAGGCTGTCTACTTCAGTAGAGATGTACAGCCTCGGAAACCCCGTGTAGGGTTGCTGGACATCAGAACTAAAGCCTTGGCTGCGGATTTGACTTTTGGTTTGGCCCCAGCTCTCAGCCCCTTCCCCTCACGACTCCCTGGCATGGCAACGAGACAGAGGCTGAGTCTTCTCAAGAGGGTGGGCCTGCTCTGCTGCTGGCACGCGTGCTGGGTGCACTCCTGCAACAGGATGGGTGGCACAGCCAGGAGCTTCATTTCTTCTGATGATCCCAGACCGTCACTGAGTCTGGGACTAGAATGTAAGGTCCTGTTGGCTGTCCTGGAGTGCTGTGCATGTCCCAGATGCCAGGCCTGAGCCGGGCACTGACGAGGAGGGCCAAGGTGCACAAAAGAGGCACGGGCAAGCAGGCCGAGTGGCTGTGTGGCCTGGGGAGGGGGACATGGTCCTAACTTCCCAGTGGATGGGTATTTGGGAGAGTTATCACCGTGAGTGAACGCAGGCTCTCCCAACAGCTGCCTCTCTGAGCCTCAGTTTCCTCATTTATAAAACAGGGTCTATAATGTCTGCCTCTTGGGCCTCAAAGTGCCCAGGATGGTCTCAGGGGCCCAGTGAGAGGTTAGCAAAGAAAAGCTGTTGGCATGGCTCGTAGGAGAGACCGTCATAAGTCAATAGGGGCATGGGCTCTGGAGTCCCAGTGTCGGCTCCAGCCCTTCCCATCCAGTGGCCTTGGGTAAGTCACCTTCCTCACCAGAGCTTCAGTCCTTTTATCTGAAACAGTCTCATCGCCCCCACCTCAAAGGTTGTCCTGAAGATTAAATGAGATAATGCATTGAAGTCATTGAGCCCAGAGCCTGGCACACAGTAAGTGCTCAATAAATCATTAGCCTTAATAGCAGGTAATGTTTATGGAATGCTTGCTTAATGCTGGGCAATAGTGTTGTTTTCTCTCGAATATTCTAGTTATCTGAATTAATAATAATAATGCATCACTCCCTAACAAGTCAGCCAATCTGACCCACGTCTCATTGTCCTACAGCAACGCATAGAGGCCTACAGCCGCCCTGGTGCCAACAATGGTTCCAAGTTGGGCTGCTCACCCCAAGGTCAGCAGTTTGTAACCACCAGCCACTCCATGGGAGACGAAGGAGGCCTTCTACTCCCGTAAAGAGATAGTCTTGCACTCCCACAGGGGCAGTTCCACTCTGTCCTACAGGGTCAACTCGATGGCAAGGAGTTCTTGGACAGAGGGGAAGTGACTTGGCCAAGGCCACACTCTTCTCAGTGTCCTGTGTGTGGCTTTGTCCCACTAAGCCTGCCACTGAGCCCCTGCTTTGCCTTGTTTTCCTGGAGGGGCGTGTCCCTCCCTGCCCCATTACTCTTCAGCACCAGCAGCCCCTCAGAGCTGCAAATGTCCAGAATGGCTTGGTTAAGCGTTTGACTGTTACACGTTCATCTCTTATAATTTCAATCCAATTCCTGTAAGTTTATTGGCAAGACGGGGTGTGTTAGAGCTGCCAAATGTAATATATCAAGTCCATGTGTCTGGGTCGCGGTTTCTCGGCAGCGATGGGAGAAGCGAGGTTTTATATGTTCTCATTTCGAATGACTGTCTGTTCTTGATCTCATTACAGCCCTTGACTTAATGGCTAGCTGTCCCTGTCTGCCATAGGCACGGCTTTCTCTGTCGCATGGCTGGGCTCCTCTGCCCTGCGCCACCCCCCAACTTCCCAGCCTCTTCCTCCCAAGGTGCATTCCCCTTGTCTTCCAGGTTAATTGGATCCCAGTGTCACCCTAGTTACCAGGCTCTGGGAAGGAGCCCTGGTGGCACAGTGAGTTAAGCTGCAGACTACAGAACAAAAGATGGGTGGTTCAAACCCACCAGCTGCTCCTCAGGAGGAAGCTGTGGCAGTGTCCCCGTCCAGATTGGCAGCCCTTGCCTGTGGGGTTGCTGTGAGCCGGAATTGATCCAGCACTAGTGGGTTTGGCTTTGGTTTGGGATTCTGGGGCTCTGGCTGCCAGCTGGTGCTGCGTCCTCACGACCTTGGGGAAGTCGCTGTCTTTTCTTCCCTTTGGGCCTCAGGTGCCAGTTCTGTGAAATATGAGGACCAAGGCTCAGGACCTGAAGGGCTTCCTCGCTGCTAGCTCCAGGGCGAGGGCCTCCACCTCTGCAGGGCCCACCTGCCGGCCCTGAGAGGCAGAGGTGCCAAACAGGGATGAGAGTCAGAGAATTGCCCCCTCTCTCGGGTAGCAGAGCTCCTAGGTCAGATGTAGTACC